TTTACACAAACATATTTTAGTACCTATGTTTGAGAAAACATTAGCATTTAATTGAAAATATTTTTTTTATACTTAGAAGGCAATTTCTTCAACATTGTGACAATCAAGAGCCAATATCATTCTTGATGGAGAAAGACTAAAAGCATTCTTGTGAACAGAGATCAGACAAGGATGCCCCCTATCACCACTCCTATTGATGATTGTATCTGAAGTACTTGCTAGGGCAATACAAAAATAAAAATAAAAACAAAATAAAAGAGAAAGAAGAAAGAGGCATCCAGATCAGCAAAGAGAGGGTGAAACTGTCACTATATGCCTATGATATGACAGTGTACACAGAAAATCCCAAAGACTGGAAAAAAAAATTCTTAGAGCTAGGAGACCAAGTTAGTAGAGTGGTAAGACACAAGATCAATATATTCAAGTTTGTGGAATCTACAGTAACAAAGAAAGCACAGAGATGGGAAATAAGGAAACAATACCATTCACAATAGGCAACTACAAATTGAGATACTTAGGAATAAACCTAACTTGTTGTTGGATGCCGTCGAGTCATAGACGATTTATAGTGACCCTATGAACGAAAGACCTGAGCACTATTCATAGAGCTTCTGGAGGCAAGCCATTTCAGAAGTGGATGCCACTCCTGCTTCCAAGTTTGTTTTCATGAGGGAGCCCCACCAAACACTGTCCACCAGGGCTAACCATTATCACATTTGGCACATCAGTATCACAGTGTTTAGCATCACAGCAACCACAAGTTACCTCTGTACAGCAATGCACAGACCAGTGCTATACCACCTAAAAGAATGTTTGACAACAAAAAAGGACCTTGTTTCTAGGGAAACATAAAACATTTACAAAGACAATGCAAAACACTTTTGTAAGAAACAATAAAAAAGCATAAATAAATGGCAAAACATTTCCTGCTCATGGATAGGAAGACTCAGAACAGTGAAAATGACAACCCTACCAAAAGTAACTACTTGTTTAATGCAATCCAATACAGACACCAAATTTATTTTTTAAGGAGATCTAAAAGGCAATTCTCAAGTTTATCTGGAGAGGAAAGAGACCCTGAATAACAAAGCACTTCTAAAAAAAAAAAAAAAGAATTAAGTGAGAGGCATAGCATTCTCTGATCTCAAAACCTACTATACAGCTGTAAGAACCCAAACAGCATGGTACTGGTACAATGATAAAAACAATGGAACAAAATCAAGAACCCAGACATGGATCTTTCTATCTACCTACCTACCTATCATCTATCTATCGTCAACTGATAATCCACAAGCAAAAAAAAAAAAAAATAGGGAAATGACAATCTCTTCAGCAAATGATACCGGCAAAACTGGACTGCTACTTGAAGAAAGCTGAAGCAAGATCAACTCAAGATGGAACACAGACCTAGGCGTAAACCCCAGACCACAAACATCATAAGACAAACTGGGACAAAGCTTAGAAGGCCTTGCCTATGGCTGTCAAATACAGCTGGAGAGGATAAAACTGATGAATGGGACCTTCTAAAGATTAAATCCCTGTGCATATAAAAAAAATTTTCCAATAGTGTGAAAAGAAAACCTACTGATTGGTAAAAAGTATTTGGCAATACCATCTCAGACAAGGATCTCATAACAAGTTTTTAGACTCCTATAGGGCCTCGACAACAGAAAGATTGTTAACCCAATTACAAAATGGTCAAAAGACTTGGAAAGACTTTTCAGAGGAAGATATTCAGATGGTCAACAGATATATGAAGAAATGCTTAAGATAGTGTTCAATAAGAGAGATGCAAATCAAAACTACAATATCATCTCACCCCAATTGTTACTATGTGCCATCAAGTCACCTGTGACTCATAGCTACCCTATGTACAACAGCTCTGAAGCCTGCCCTGCCTGAGTCAGTTTCACTGACTCTGATACACCCACCCCCATTGCCCAAGTTACTGTACCAATCCATCTCATCCTGGGTCTTCCTCTCCTGCACTGTCCCTCCACACTTCCAAGCATTAGCAGTGGCAGAGTTTACTAGGATAGCAAGCTGTAAATGTTGGAAAGGATATGGAAAGAGAGGAAATCACATATACTGTTGGTGGGATTGTAAAATGGTACCACCACTTGGGAAGGAAGTATGGTGTTTCCTCAAAAAGATAAACACAGAAATTCCATTTAATCCAGTTATTCCACTCCTAGGAACACACCCTAAGAAAATTAGAAATGAGACACATATGGAGATTTGTACACCAATGTTCACAGGCAGCACTATTCACCATCGTGAGAACATGAAAAATGTCTAAATGTCCAAATACAATTGAATGGATTGAGAAATTATCATACATTCACATAATGGAATACTATGCAGCACTCAGAAGCAATGATTTTGAAAATTACTACATGACTTGAGAGAGACTGCGAGGGCATTAGGCTTATTCAATTCAGTCTCATAAGGACAAACATTATATAGGATCAATATTATAAAAACAGAAGGAAAATGTAAAATGTGTATGGAGATCTAAAGAAGGGAGGAAGGACTGTAGATGGGGAAATTATAGGGCTCCATAATTTGGTAGGGGTGGGTTGGGGATGTGTGTATAAAGGAAATCTGGAAAGACAGGGTAATGAAGGGCATGGTTTGATGATGACTGATTTTATAATGAATGAAAATGATTTTATGAGACACAATGTGAAGAACAGTGTGAAACACAATGTGAATGAAGAACAATGTGAAACACTATGTATGTAAACTTTGTACACAAATGTAAAATTTAAAAGAAATATGTATTATAGCCCACTGCTTTAAAAACACACACACAAACACACACACACAAACAAATCACCTTTTATTTTTTGCTATTTAACACTCCTCAGTCAATGTTTTTGCTATTTAGAAAACTTAGAAAACAACTGAGGCAGAGGTATAAAGGATACACTTAGGACACAAAATCCAAGTCCTAGCAATGTCTGGGACCCTTCCCCCTCTAGTGCACCTTTTAATATACAGTATCCAGTAATTGTGTAGCTTCTGAGAAATGAGTCTAAGTTTTGTGTGTTGTGTGCATTTAGTCTGTTTCCAGTCATAGTGACCCTACAGAATAGAGCCGAATAGCCCCACATGGTTTCTGAGGCTGAAATCTTAACAAGGAGCAGGATTAGCCCGTCTTTTCTCCCATTGTAGGTTCAGACGGCAGCTGAGGTTTGTACCACTGCGCCAGCAGGGGGCGCTTCCTGGGTTTTGTGTGGACAGAATTGAAGCTTAGTATTTCAAAGTTGAGGTTCTCAACACTGGGTACTGGTGCCCTTCCAAAGAACATCTGTCAATATACAGTGATACTTTTATTACAAAGGAGAAGGAGGCTGGTGGAAAGAGGAGCTTACCTTCTGGTAAGTACAGACTAGGGATGCTTTGAAAAGACATCTTTTCAGCCACACAGTACACGTGCATGTTTGTGTGCTTGCTGGGCTGCTGGGGCTGTACAGTCAGAAGCACTGAACATTCTTACTGACCTACAAACACCAGGGTTCTTTCTGACACGTGATTGTCTTTCTGATACATGAACTGATTCACTCATTTTTTTTTCACTTCCTCACAGCATAGTGGCATGGCCTGGGGGTGGGGGGGAGGGGTTACATAACAACGAAAGAGTTTTCTTTCTTTTCAAAAGAGTGAATTGGGGGGAGGGGGTGGTGAGGGAGAAAAGTGCAACAATGAATGACTGGAAACCCTAAGTCTCTGTAAACTTTAATTAAAATTAATTAAAAAAAAATTAAACAAGGAAGGCCTATGGCCAGTTGGAGTCTATCTTGTCAAGTTTCTGTTCCTCCAAGACTTCATGTAGATTTTTAATGGCTGCGTATTAGAGGTACAAACTCCAGACTGAACCAGTCCTTTTTTATTTCTCCAGTAATACTGAGATAAACTGAAGTGACTAATGGTGATCACCTTTGAGGACCCTGTCATATTGCAGAGTTTAAAAAGGTCAGTATTTCCTGCATTCCTGTCTCCTCTTCAGGGCACACACATTGTGGCACCACATAAAGTACCAGAATGCCAGGGAAGAACTAAAAAAGGAATAAAGAACTTTTGTAGTAACAATGAGTAACTGTGGTGAGACTTTGATACTTTTTCTTTTGCCTCTATTTTCCCCTCCTTCAACTCTTTTAAACCTTCTTAATATAAAGAGTGGAGATATGCAAGTCATTCGTAATATCTTTAGTGATGTAGTAAATAATATATTGCACTGTTGACTGAAAGGTTGACAGTCTGAATCTATCAGCTACACTGAGGGAGAAAGAAGGGCAGTCTCTTCTTGTTAAGATTTATAGTTTTGGAAACCCAATGGAGTATTACCATGAGTCAGAATCAATCCCAAAACAGTTGGTTTAGTGAGTAATAACAGATAGTGTAATTACCTGGTATTGAAGTTATTGGTTTTGGGAATAAACAGGTTTTGGGGTGGGGGGACCCTATTTGGAACGAATGTAAAATTTTACTATATTTTGGTGTATAGCATGAGCCTGTTGTGGAGAGTATCAAATAAGAAGATACATTTTACGTGTTTTTTCTCGCGCGCGCATGCGCGCGCGCGCACACACACACACACACACACACACACACACAAATGGAATGTACTGTGTAAATGAAGGTTATTAGCTGAAGGAAATGATCTTCTTCAAATATCTCTTCTATCCATTTCAAAACTACTGAGGATCCTGTAGGATCTGGAGCTTTCACTAGTCTTCTTGTTTGCAGTTTCCTGAAGTTATTTGCATGAGATTTCTTTCTCCATTCTTCTGGTATGAAATGTTGGAAGTGGTTTTTGTTTTTGTTTTTATGATGACCCAGAAGCTGGATTGTTGTTGGTGTTGTTATTTGCCATCAAGTCACCTATGACTCATAGCAACTCTGTACAAAATCCTGGACTACCTTGAGTCAGCACACTTTCCATTGGTTACTCTCCAAGTGAGATGTACCTTCTGCTGCCAGAGCCCTGCACAGGGTTAGTTCTGGCTGACGTCTTTCAAATAGTTCACAAGGTCTATTCGTGAACAATGGTAAAGAGCATATGTCAGCTTTCCCACTGTGGCTCCCCTATTGCCTTCCTTCATCAGCCACTTCTGGAGCATCTGGTAAACCTTCTCTCTCAGTCCATCTCGCTCATAGTCATGGTCAATTTCATCAATCTGAGGTTCAGTGAAGCCCAGCTTACGGGCACACTTTTTCCATTGCTTTCCAAGATTTTCTCTAACTGGGTCCAGGTGTTTATCAGTCAGACTGGTATTATTAGCTGTAAAATGGAAAAGAGAAGATAGTTCCAAGTTATAATCCATTTGAGCATTCTAGCTTGCTAAAAACCCTTAGTATAGTGAAAAGTATCAGCAGACAATAAAAAAGATAACTTTTTCATTATTTTTGTTGTTAGATGTCACCCAATCGAGTATGATTCATAGCGACCTTAAGAACAACAATCTGTACCTTGTCCTATCCTGTTCCATCCTTATAATTTCTGTAACTTCTTAGTTTTACACAGGTGTTTATTCATTGCATTTAATACTTTTTATTTTATACTAGTTTATTTACAAAACTCGAATATATTATTTTTATAACAAATTCTTCCAATTTCCCTCACTCCACATCCATCAAATTATACAACTCCATGATTAAGCCCTCCTCCCTCTACTTCCACCTTCCTCTACCCTCCTCTTAGATCCTTATACCCATTCTACAAGAATAGTTTTATACAGTATTTGTCCTTGTGGGACTGAGTTAGTTCACTCAGCATAATGCTCTCCAGTTCCTCCCAAGTTAGGTAATAATTTACAAAATAATTGCTCCTGCATGCTGCGCAGTATTTCATTGTGTTAATGTACCATAATTTCTCAATTAATACTTTCTCATTTAATAGCTTATATACCTGTGAGTACTCATAGGACCTTTGTGCAAATGATCATAGTGTACGCCTTCCTCTAGCAGATAAAGACCTCAGTCACTGCTGATGGCATTGCCAGAGAAATCCCTACTGGACTACTAGGTTAGGCGATCTATACTGGATGAGCCAGCATCCCTATTTACATTACATTTTCTTGAGTGTAAAGGCAAAGACTAGTATTTTCACAGTTGTTGTTATGTGCCGTCGAGTCACCTGCAACTCATAGTGACCCTATGTACCACAGCCCTAAACCCTACTCTATCCTGTACCAATCTTATTGTCTCTGACACACCTACCCCATAACTACTTTTGGAAATTTTCCTTTCTGCTTACATCTGGCCGGAGTCATGGGTACCCAAGTCCTGATGTCCCGCACTCAACAGTTTACTTTCTTCTGATTTAATCAAGGACATTGAGACCACTATGATGTATGTTTCTGTGTGTTAATGACATGCTGAGCACATATTGTGTGTTAAGTACCACTGAGTCAGAATCAACTCATAACTGACCCTCCAGCAGGTTTTCAGAGGCAGTTAATCGCATGAGGGGAGACTGCCTATCTTTCTCCCAGAGTAACTGCTGGATTAGAACCTTGTACATTTGGGATTGCTCCATGAGTTCTTACCATCAGGCCACAAGTGATCCTAAAGTACCAGAATTGATAGATAAATGTGTTCAGGGACATTTTACAAAAAAGTTAGTTATGGTCTGAACCAAGTGTTTAACAATTGGGATCGTTTTTCTGACCATGCATTACTGCAACAGAATAACAGCTTTTTCAAGGGTGAATGAGTGCCTCTTAGAAGCAAGGATGGTGCAACTTCATCTCACAAACTTGGCGCATATTCTCAGGAGGGGTCAGTGCATGGAGAAGGACATCATGATCGCTTCTCGGCCTTTTGGCTAAGATTAAGTGTAGAAGGACATCATGCTTGGAAGCATGGAAGAACAACGAGCAAGAGCCTGAGGGAGGTGGACTGACCTGTGATTGCAATAATGGGCTTTAAGCCCAGCAGATGTTGTGAAGATGGTGCATGACCGGGCAGGGAAGGGCTTCATTCTGTTGTACATGAAGTTGAAGCCTATTTGATAGCAACTAACACCAGCTGCTCTGCGAGAGAGGATGGGCAATCTCTTCCCGTGTGATCAACTGTCTCTGAAAACCTGCTGGAGGGTCAGCTATGGGTCAATTATGATTCTATGGTACACAACAATAACAAAAACTACAACAAAATAAACATGGTAGCTAAGAATACACTAGATGCACCTGTGATAGCTATTTTATATATTGCAGTTTCAACATTTTAAAATGAACTATAAAATCAGTGATATCACCTTTCTTGTCTTTCACGGTCTCCAGGTCTGTTTTAGGACATGTACACAAAACACATACACACACACACACACCACGCACACGCACACACACCCCCTACAGTTGCTCTTTCCTATCTATTGTCACTTCTCTTTCTACTGGCATCTTCCCCTTATCTTTTTGTAAAAGTAACATGTAAAATAATTTTTTAAAAACCACAGATATAAATATATACTACCACTACAAACCAATCATCTTCTTGGATCCTAACCATAAACTGAATCTAATAAAATAAACTAAATATAAGCAGAAAGCAAATTATTTTCCCCCTGCAGTTCCCATCTTCTGTCCTCATTGTTGAGTATTGGCATTTCAAATACCGCTTAAGCTATTTGCCGAATTTTGTCGACTTCTTTAGACAACAGACCCTGAGTTTCATCAGATTCTCAAAGTTCCCCTTACATCTCCAAAATGCTATTTATGAGTTAGAACAAGAAATGGCAAACTCTGGCTATGGCCACATCTGCCTGTTTTGTAAGTAAGGTTTTAGTGGAATACACCCATACCTTTTAATTTACATATTGAGTTCACACTGCATTGATTAGCTGTAACAGAAACCTTAGGGCCTACAAAGTATATCTATAATATAATTGTAATTATTATAGACTGTCCAAGCCTTTGTAAATAAACATTGCCAATTCCTGGATTGATCAGAAAGCTGCATTCTTAGAATTTCAAATTCTCATAGAATCCACACTTCTAGCACTATGAAGGTTGGATCAATCCCTGAAACTACTGCCCTGACATACTCTTTAAATCTTAAAGGAAAAATAGCTCTTGAAGTCTTAAAAGCAAGCAAGATATTGTTGTTAATCTTGTTGTTGTTGTGTGCCACCGAGCTGGAACTGAATCATAGCTGACCCTCCAGCCAGTTTTCAAAAGAAGTAAAATGCATAGGAGGAATAGTTTATCTTTCTCCTACTGAGCAAGTGGTGGATTTGAAACTCATGCCTTCGGGTTGGCAGCACAGATCGTTTCCACTAGGCCACCAGTAGTTTAGTTTAATTAGTAAAGTATGTCTGCCATAGCATTATGTTCTACTACAATCTCTCTCTATGGAACAAACTGACAACAGCAACTCAAAAGGTTAAACTGGAAACAGGGCAGTGAACTTATATTACAGGAAGAGGTGCAACTTAGAAAAAAGGGTGTGAGAATGGTTGCACAAATCAGTGTTATTAATGTCATAAAACTGTACATGTAAAAACTGTTGAAATGGTGCTTGTTCTACTGTGTGTATTCTCAACAACATTCAAGAAATCAAAAAATTATGAAAGCAAGCTTCAAAGTCGCAAGCGACTTGACGGCACATAACAACAACAACAACAACAACAACAACATTTTGGACTCATAATTTCTTTCCTTGGTTGTGTTTTGTATTATTGGTCTGTACAGTGGAGCCCTAGTAGAGAAAACCCTCTGGCTTTTTATCCAGAGGTGCTGTTCAGATGACAGTCTCTGTCTGGTACAGAATCACCTATTTCTTCCAGGTCTGAGTGGCCATACTGGTGATGACAGTATTATAGAACTTACTACGTACTAAGAAGTGTTCAAAGTTTTTTGTAGAAAATGACTCATTTAATTTTCAAAATAAATCTATGTTCCTATCTTCATCACAGGGTAACTTTTAAGGAAAATACAATAGAAATTTTAGGATTTCATCATAATCCTGCTAAAAAGCAAGAATATTCAGGGTCATTAGGCAATGGGTCTTTTTTTAAAAAAAATAATTTTAATGAGCATTTACAGAAATTTTGGATTTCCATTCATTTATTGCTGCACTTCTCTCCCAGCCCAGCACCCCCCTCCCCAGTTCGCTCCTCTCTTTCAAAAGTAAAAGAAACACTCCCTCCCTGGTACACAATCCCCCTCACCCCTCCCACCGCCCCAAGTACATTCCACTATGCAACCTTAATTGTGGACTCTTGTGATGACCATAATACCCTATCATACATCACTTTTAAATTATTCACTCCCTCATCTGTTTCAGTGCAGTATACACAATTTATCCAGTTTTTCTCAGTCTTACCCCAGCAATGGATCTTTTTAAAGGGCATCTTACCAAAGATCTCTTGGTATTTTAATGCTGGCTCTTCGTAGTTCACAGAAGTACTCTCCAGTGGCTGTGTATGAGCTCCACCAATCTCCATGAAATTATTATTTCCAATCTGAATCCCCGAGCTATTATGTATGTTATATCTGGTGGACTCATCTAAGAAGACAGAAACACAAGTGAATACACCTAGACTGGTAACAGAAGATTAAAAAAAGTTTTATAAAGAGCTTAAAGGTAAATGTTGGGTTAAATGATATATCCTATGCTAGCCCTTTAGATGTTTTTTAAAATATGGCTGGTACCAAGTAAAGGAAGGATACAAGTAGGATCGATACATTCCTGAGCAGGCTCTTCAAATCAAAGTGCCGGTTAGTGTCTCCTTCCTATAATAAAACCCTAATCTCTCAGTTCAGTACTCAAAGCAAACCAGTTCTACCCAAACCTCTCTTGATCCTTTAAATAACTCCTTACTGTTCTAGTTCTCCTCTCACACAAGCTTTCCTGACTCATTGATGATAACACGGTCTGTCCTCAAACTGTTCTCTCTACCTGGACTATTTTCCTTTCCGTGTGTACTTGAGAGTTTCTGCAAGAGTCTTGCTCAAATTCAGCCTTCCATTAGTGATTCTCTGCTGTAATCTAACTGTAATCTAGCAAGGTGACACAGACTGCTCTGTTATCAGTTCACATGGCTTACTTCTGCACCAAGTGAGTTCTTAAAGAGCAGATATCCTGTTCCAGTATAGGCCAAGACTTTGTAAATTACATAGGTTTAGTGATATCCATGCTGAATTGAAGCTGTCAGAGTTTATTGTTACTAAGAACATTTACCAAGTCTTTGCCTGAGAGAAAAAGCAGAAGAAAGATTTAAGGAGGCAAATTAAATTTATCTGTTGGCAGGTTAGTACCTTTGTCCCTAAGAGACAACCATCTAACTGGATCAGACACCATAGACATTTGTTGCTTTTTCTCTCAGAAAGCTCTCAGAAAGTACATCCAGGAAATGTACTAAGGTACAGACAGAGGTGGTTTGTTCATTGTTATGTCACCAAAGCTATGTGGTATTTAGTCTTAAGTGATATATAAGTTTTATTGAATTAATTGTGAGGGAATAAAATATGGTGACACCAATGCAAAATTTTATTTCCAGATACAATGCAAACAGAACATGTTATTTACATGTAAAATGACTTACAGTCTGTTTAATGCCTAATTTAATATTTTGCATTCAATAAATTTTCTAAAACTTATAGGGGAAAAACCCCCATAGAGAATGTTTTTATCCAATGTTTTAGGATAATTTGGCCTTTTAAAGCAAATGCAATTCAGCTCTCTGATTTTTAATGTCTCTCTAACTAAGGTGATTTTATAATTCTCAGGGCACAGACATCACTAATTGCTGTGGGTATACTGAGGTGGTAGTGGGGCATACTACATGACAATGATGTTGGAAATCAGTATCACTTCCAGTGCAGATTGCTAGTAAATACTGTCAACTAGTTTATTTTACTCAAAAAATATGGAAATTTTAAGGAAATTTTTTAGCACAAATGGTATTTTCTGGCCTATATTAAAAAAGTATTAATACCCAAGACTTAACGTGTTGCTTTCAGAAAACAGCAAGCAAGATAAAAAGAATCCAAGCAAGCATCTTTCCATTCATCAAAGATTGGGACTAACAGTGCTAATAGATTACTCACTTCATGGTGGAGGTCACTTACCAGTTAAAATGATATGTAACCCAATACTTGTTGGCAACTGTGATGAATCCTAAGATAAAACTAAAATATGCACAGGCCAGGTAGTTGGATAAAAAGCATTCCATAGTCGTCAAGTTGCATCTGGCAGCCTAAGTCTAAAAAACTCTATCTGTCTCTATCATATCTACAATAGAGCTAACGGCTGCCTTTATTTTCAGAAAATGTAATAATAAAAGGGTAGGATTAACAGCCTGTTTACCTGTTGATGAGAAGGACTGAAACGGAATGGTAGGTAAGTGGAAACTTAGTAGGCTGGTCTCAGGCACTGGAGTTTTATGCAGGGGTGGTATATGACTAGGATTTGGCTCAAACCAAGGTCTTGGACCAGAAGTTCGTGGGTCTGGAGTTCTTATTTGATTAACTGTTGTATAGCTGTTATACTGATTGTTGTGTAACCCACTGTTCCAATATGTTATTTGGGGTTGGCTGGTTAGCCCTGGTGTGTGTAGCACTCTGTCACTGTGATTAGCTGCACTAGAAGAAGCAAGGCCTTTCATGCCTGGGTTCTGTGCATTTTCATAAAGCCTTGGCTGTGCAAAGGGGTCATGGGAAACTCTTCGTTTCCTTTCTTCCTCTCTATTATAAGCTACATTCCATTTTTCCTTTCTGTCCATGCGGCTGCCAAAGTGATGGTAGTTGGCTTCCTCCTGGAGTTTATTCTGCAGGCTGAGCTCATACTCTTGCTGGTGTTCCGAGGAAGGGCCAAACCAAGACTCCTCCACCGGACCCATCCTGAATCCCTGCGAACTGTGCAGTGAACCAGGCTGTTCTGTGGCTAAGAAGGAATGATCAACATTAGAATGAAGTTCATGAAAAATAAAAAAGGAAAATAAAATCTGAACAGCAACAAGAATCTGTACATCAAAGTAATATATTGTTAACTCTGAAGACAAATAGAAAGCATTTACTGTGTCCTGCTGTTTCTAGTGCCTCTATAATAGGACATAAGAGCCCCTTCTTAGTAGTCAGAAGGCATCTACGGAATTATGAGTATCAGAAAAGTGGATGTTGTAGGAGTGGCCAAAGAAGAAAGGAAAAAAGAGTAGAAAAGTAGTCACCTCCTTCATTTGTTTTGGGTTTGAAAATAGCAGTTCTGGGTATTTGCCATGTTGTTAGCTATTGTTAGGTGCTGTTAAGCATGAATCATAGCGACCCTATGAACAACCCATCTGAACCCTGTGCCATCTTCACGATTTCTAACACACTCTAGGCCATTGCCACAGTCACTGTGTCGACCCACCTGGTTGAAGGTATTCCTTTGTTCCGCCACGCTTCCACCTTCTTAAGCATGATGTTCCTCTCCAAGGGATAGCCTCTCTTAGCAACATGCCCAAAGTACATGAGATGAAGCTTCATCATCCTTTCCTCTAAGGAACACTCTGGCTGCACCTTCTCCAAGACATATCTGTTTGTTCTTTTGGCAGTCCACAGGACCTTCATCACTCTTCTCTATTACCATAGTTCCAAGACATCAGTTATTCTTCTATCATCCTTAGTCACTGTCTAGTTTTCAAATGCATAGCAAGTGACTGAAAGGACCAGGCTCAGAATAAAGAGCACCTTAGTCCTCAAACTGACATGATTGCTCCTCACTCATTTGGAGAGCTCTCTGACTACAGACTTTCCCCGTGCAATACATCTCCTAATCTCATGACTGCTGGTACCAAGTGTATTGATTGTGGATTCAAGAAAAAACGAAGTTAGTGACAATCTCAATCTTTTCTCTATCTAAATGACATTACTTATCAGTCCAGTAGCAATGATTTCTATTTTCCTGTCATTGAGATGAAATCCATATTGAAGGCTGAATTGATTAATCTTCTGTAGCAAGAGCTTCAAGTCCTCCTCATCTTCAGCAAGCAAGGTGTGTCATCTGTATAACTAAGGTTATTGATAAGACTTCCTCCAATCTCAATGCCACATTCTTCTTCACAGAGTGCAGCCTCTCAAATAGTCTGTTCATCACACAGATTAAATAGATATGGAGAAATTATACAACCTGATGCATACCTTTACTAATTTTAGACCATGCAGTGTTCTCTTTATTAGTTTGTACATAGCCACTTGGTCTAGGTATTGGTTTTACACAAGCACAATCAAGTGTTCTGGAATTCCCATTCTTCTCAGTGTTAGCCATAATATGCCAGGAACCACATAGTCAAATGCCTCTGAATAGTCAATAAAGCACAAATAGATATTCTTCTGGCGGTCTCTCCTTTCAGCCAGGATCCACTGACATCAGTAATGATATCCCTGATACCACAGCCTCTTCTAAATTCAGCAATTCTACTACTGTTCTAGCCATTTAAAAATAATCCTCAGCAGTATTTTGTTTGCAAGTGATTATTAATGATAATGTTAAATAATTTCAACTTTCTGTTGGATCATCTTTCTTGGGAATTGGAACAAACATTGATCCTTTTCAGTCAGCTGGCCAGGCAGCTGTTCTTTAATTTCCTGGCACAGACTGGTGAGCAGGTCTAGGGCTACATCTGCCATTTGAGACATCTCACTTGGTATCCCATCTATTCCTGGGACCTTATAGTTTTACCAATGCCTTGAGGGAAGCCTGAATTTCTTCCTTCATTATTACTGACTCTTCTTCATCTAGTACTTCCTGAAATATTTCAGTGTTAGTCAATTCTTTTTGGTACAGTGACTCTCTGTATTCTGTTCATCTTCTGTTTCCAGGATCATTCAAGATTTTGCCCATAGCATTCCTATGTACTGTAACTCAAGGCTTGAATTTGTCTTTCAGTTCCTTCAGCTTAAGATATGCTGAGTGAGTTCTTCCCTTTTTATTAGTGAATTCTAGGTCTCTGCATGTCCCATTATAGTAGTTTGCGCTGACTTCCCAAGCTGCCCTGTGAAATCTTCTGTTCAGGTCTTTTAGTGTACTTCCCATGGAAATGTAACATTATGTGGCTGTTCCTCAAAAGTTAACATAAGATTACCATATGGCCCAACAGCTCCACTCTTAGGTAGAAAAAAAATTGAAAGTAGGGGCTCAAAAGGGTCTTGGACATCATTATTCACTGCAGCATTATTCATAGCAGTCAAAGACAGAAACAGCTCAAGTGTCCATCAGCAGATTAATGGATAAGCAAAATACAAAATTATATATACAATAGGGAGTTCTGGTGACCTAGTGCTAGGAAGTTGATCTGTCAACCCAAAGGCAGGTGGTCTGCCATTTATACTACTATATAAATACTAGCTTTTTCTTGAGAGATAGATGGACAGTCTCCTCTCCTGTGATGTATAGCCTCTGAAAATCCACTGGACAGTCTGCTATAAGTCAGTCTTGACTCAATGGCACAAAAAACATGTCTACAATGGAATATTATTTCACAGAGAAATAAAGTTTGATGCATGCTACACCATAGCATTATGTTAAGTGAAGTGAGACACAAAAAGGAAATGCAATGTTATTTCATTTTTATGAATTCTGTAGAGAAACAAATGCATAGAGACCAGCATTTATTACTGGTTACCAGGGGCTTGAAGAAGGAGTGGGTGGGAGCTGCTGCTTAAGGGGTCCCATTTGCAAACGGATAGTGATGGTTACACAACATGACAGATACAATAGTGTAAGTGAATTGCACAGGTAAATGGTTAAATAGCAATATTTGTATGTATATTTGACCACAATAAAACAAAATTTTTTAAAAAAGTTAAAAGAGAGTGAGTTCTGATTGCTATCACTAATAGATACATGAGATTTATAAGAGTTTAAGTAAGTGGCCCCAGGTCAAATAGCTAGTAGTACATGGCCTCAACAGCCCATTATTTTATTCTCTTTTGTTATAATGAAAAATGTTATCTCTGACTGAACCTGAGGCCAACCTCTCTCCTTGTGCCCTCTATCCAATACCTCTGACATCCTTAAAGACATGGCTGGCTCCCACAAGTCTCCACATCTTCCTGAGCTGTGACCTTCTCTCTGTCTGGAACATATTGTTCTATTTAAGTTCCAAATAGATGTATCTAGATTTCCCAATATACTATAAACTCTTCAAATTCAAGTGTTAATGTGTTATACTTTTTCTCAGTTTCCAATCTGATCTTCAATAGTATTTTAAACAGCAGAGTACATGAATGTGCAAATCAACAAGATAAGCAGATTTTTAAAGTACCTGAGTTTGACCTGCTTGGAGGGACTGCTACACAGTCAATTTGGAGAGACTGCATTTCCTTAATGAATGAATCTTGGTCCGGATACGCTTCCTATAATTAGTTAAGAGTATAAACACACACTTTAGTAAACAGCAGAACATACTTCTTAGTTTCAAGAAAGTATTATGAGAGGAATAAATCCTTTCTGAAGATAGAATCTTAAAGATCCTATTGGGTGCTACAGAGTCATGAGACAGAGTAGAAATGCCCCATGAGAGTTTTTAGACACATTGCTCAGTCCCTGCTTTACAGCGGACTGTTCAGTCATTTTCCTGCTAAACTACTGTATGAGTTCAAACATTCCATCCTTCGATTAGCTAGCAGCTAAGTCATCCTTTGTAGATCTTACTCCTGTGTAGCTCTTACAAGCAAGAAATATTTTTTCTTTTAACAATGATAAAAAAATTTTTTTAATCTGCCCTTTGGGTCTTCACCCAAACATAGAAAGTTAACATTTTGTTTTTTTTTCTAGGTCTTCCCTTGGTGTGAGGTACCACTATGACTCACTGTGACAGGTCCAACCAAACCTTGCCCAATCCTTTGCCATTTTCATAGCTTCAACATGTTCAAGCCCATTGTTACAGCCACTGTGTCAGAAAGTGAGGGTCTTTCCCTCTTTCCCTAACCCTCCACCTTTCTCAGCATGATGTCTTTTTCCAAAGACTGGCCCTTCCTGAAACCACGTCCCAAGTATGCGAGATGAAGTTTCTCCATTCTTGTCTTTAAGGAGCATCTTAGTCACATTCTTCCAAGATAGACTTGCTCATTATTTTGGTAGTCCATAGGAAATTCAATGTTCTTCTCTAACACCACAATTTAAAGGCATCAATTCTTTGGTCTTCCTTATTTGTTGTCTGTAAGGAATTATGGTAGCACAAGAGTTAAGCCTTTGGCTGCTAACCAAAAGATCAGTAGTTCAAATCCACCAGTTGCTCTGTGGAGAAAAATCAAGTAGACTGCTTCCATGAAGATTAAGCCTTGAAAACTCTAAGTCAGTTGCACTCTGTCCTACAGAGTAACTATTGGTCAGAATTGACTTGATAAAAGTGGGTTTGGTTTGGGGTTTATAGTAGTCTAAAGGGTCCCTGGGTGGTGCAAACAGTTAATGTATCAAGTTGCTAACCTGATGATTTTTTATTTGAGTCCACCCAATTATGCCTTGGAAGAAAAGCCTGGTGATATATATGCCAAATGTCAGCCACTAAAAATCGTTATGACTCACATGGGTCACCATAAGTCGGAATCAACACAATGATGATAATTGGGTGAGTTGTTGTTGATGGCTTTTGAGTCAAGCATAACTCATAGCAACCCTATAAACAAAAGGACTGAAACCCCTCTACAACTATCGACATTTATCAAAGTTCATAGAGTTTCCAGAGGCATGTTATTTAGAAAGTGGATGCCATTCCTGCTTCCAAATTGGGAGGTTAGGTTCTTTTAATTTAACCTGATGTGTTTGCTCTGAGCTCCCTCCCACTGGGTTTGACTTCCTTTCTGCCCAGTCCTGCTTGCTATTCCTTTCTTGAACCTCAATTTCCATCTTTTGGATGCCTAAAGAGAGTCCAGTCTGTGAAGGCTGCTCTTTCGTGCTCATCTAATTTATTACCCTTGGTTTAATGCTACACTGCTTTCCTCTCCTTCAAAACTGTCTTGACTATCTCTTAGGTTTTATTGAGGGGTTTTTTTTTCCTTTCAAGCAAACTTAGAAATCAGCTTTATGAATTCAATAAAGAATATGGCTGAGGTTTTATTCAGACTGCACTCCATGTTTAATTATCTTAAATATAAAGCGAATTATATTCACCATATTAAACCATCATCACCTCTAATTTCCAAAAATTTTATATCATTCCTAACATAAAATCTGTACACTTTTTGTACCTTTTCGCAAAGTTTTCAGCATTTCATCATTGTTGTTGTTATTAAGTGTTGTTGAGCTGAGTACAATTCATAGTGAGTCTAAGAACAACATATCTGAACTCCGTCCTGTTTTGCACCTTCAGTTATCATCCTGGACACATCTGAGTCCACTGCCACAGACACTGTATCAATTCATCTCATTGAGGGTCTTGTCCTCCTTAGACGAGGGAAAAGCCAGCCTCTCCTAACAACATATCCAACATATGTGAGTTGAAGCTTTACCATTTTTGTCTCCAACACTCTGGTTTTACATCTGTTTGTTCTTTTGGAAGAACCCATGGGATATTCAGCACTCTTCTCTAACACCACGGTTCAAATGCATTGATTCTTCTCCTGTCATCCTTATGCAATGTCCAGCTCTCAGAGGTAGTGCAGGTGACTGGGAAAACTGTGGTTTGAATGAGGCACATTTTATAGTTTTTCAGCTGATGACACTGCTCTTTAGGACTTTGGAGAGATTCCTGACAGAAGACTTTCCCAATGCTATTCATCTCTTGATCTTCAGACTGCTGGTACTAATGGTATTGACTGTGAATTCAAGCAAGATTAAATCCTCGACAATTCCTATCTTTTCCCCATCTCTCATGATGTATATTGGCCCAGTGGTAAGGATTTTTGTTTTCTTCATAATTAAGTATAATATTTGTTGTATTTCATCATCTTTTTAATCAGGTAAGAAATTTCCCTCTATTTCTAGTAGGAGTTCACTAGGATTTTTAAAATAATGAATTTGGTATTTTATCAACTGCTTTTCTGTATCTACAGAAAATATGGATTTTCTCCCTTTTATTAGGATAATATCAGTAACTTATATAATAGACGGTTTTCTTAGGGTAAGAACTAAAGTTGCCTTCTTAGAATAAACCAAACTTGGTCATGTTTACTTTTTGCCCATAGATTGACTGAGTTGTATTTTATTTGAGATTGTACATCCATATTATTAAATGTGAATGGTTTGTATCACCTTGTCTTGTATTTTCTTAGTCAGGTTTAGGTATTAAGGTTGTGAGAGAGTTCTTACCTCTATGTACAAGTCTGTCGATGACTGAGATAATTCATGGGCTGTTTGGTAGGAATCATCTGATTCTAGAATTGTCTTTATTTTTCAAATAGAAGTTTTATTTTATACTGGTTTACTTACAAAGTTTGTATACATTGTTTTTCACACTGGATCTTTCCCATTTCCTGTACCCACCCTACCCTCCACCCTTCAAATTGTGCAACCCTATGATTCACCCCCCAACCCTTCGCCACCATTCTCACTCCTCTGTTCTCACCCTCCTCACCTTGGATCCTCATACACTTTCTACAATAATTATCTTAAACGGTAGTATTCCATCATGTGAATGTACCACAATGTCTCAATCCATCTGACTGTGTCTGGATATTTAGGCGATTTCCATGTTCTTATGATGGTGAATAATACTGCTATGAATATTGGTGTACAAATCTCCATTTGTGCCTCAGTTCTAATTTTCTTGGGATATATTCCAAGTAGTAGAATAGCTGGATCATATGGAATTTCTATGTTCAGCTTTCTGAGCAGATGTCAAACTGCCTTCCAGAGTAGCTGAACCACTTTAGAATACCATCAACAGTGTAAAAGAGTTCCTATTTTCTTTATATCCTCTCCAACATTTGTTACATGCTGTTCTGTGAAACTTTGCCATTGCTACTTGGGTGAGATGGTATCTCATTGTGGTTTTGATTTGAATCTCTCTTATTACCCGTGATTTTGAGCATTTTTCATGTGTCTGTTGGCCATTTGAATATCTTCCTCTGGGCAGTCTTCTGCCCAGTTTGTAATTGTTGTGTTATCAGTCTTTTTCGTGGGGAGCCCCTGTAGGATTCTATAAACTACTGATATGAGACATTGTCTGAAATGGTACTGCCAAATGTTTTTTCCTAGTCAGTAGCTTTTCTTTTCACTCTGTTGGAAAATGTTCTTGATGAATGCAGGGATTTAATCTTTAGACGGTCCCATTCATCAATTTCATCTAGAACTGTCTTTGTGGGATAATTTTTGATCATGGATTCAATCTCTTTAATAATTGTAGGAATAGTATTATTTTTAATTTGAATCTATTTTATTAAGTTCCATTGTCCCCCTAGAATTTGTTCATCTTATTATAAAAATTAATTAGCAAGTAATTATTCATAATATCTTTTTAAGTCCATTTTGATAGTACAAGAGTTATAGTGATGCTTTCTTATCTCAGACCTCTTTTTCTTGTCAGGTTTCATTTATTTTATTAGCCCTTTCAAATAACCAATATGTGACCTTTTTTCCTTGTATTTGTTTTCTCTCACACTAATTTATGTTTTTTTCTTATTAGTCAATTCGCTAGGTTTATTTTGCTTTTTTCTTAAGGTGAATACTTGGCTAATTAATTTGCAGCCCTTCATCTTTTCTACATTTTTCCAAAGTCTACTCTATAAGTTTTAATATGTAGTATTTTTGTGAGCATTCAGTTTAAACAATTTTCTAAATTATCCTGTGATCTTTTATTTACCTTAATTTTTTTAACTTTTAAGAAGTTCTTAACTTCTAACCGCATGAGAATTTTCCAATTATCTTTTTGTTATTAATTCCTAGCATATCTGAAATATAATCAGAGAACATCCTGTGATTACAGAGAGAATATTATTAGAACCCTTTTAAATTATACTTTTATTTTCCCAGTACAAGGTCAATATTTTAAAATAGTCTATATGTTTTTGAAAAACTTTTAAAAATAACTATTCTGTCATTTTTAGCAATGGTATGTTAATCATTCCTCAAATCTTCTGTTTCCTTCCTGATTTTTTTGTTTGTTCCACCAACTGAAGAGAGATTTATTAAAATCTCTATATCTACATATGGATTTGTCTTTTATGCCTTAAAATTATTTTAACTAAGAAAAAAATGTCAGTGCAGTGAAAAAAAAATAACATTTTTAACCATACAGTTATATTCACCATTTCCATGCCAATACGCCTTTTAATTTCCTGGCTACTGGTGCCAAGAGTGTTGACTATGGAGCCAAGCAAACTAAAGCTGTGAACAATTTCAATCTCTTCACCATCCATCCTGATGCTGTCAAGTGGTCCAGTGGTGAGAATCTTTGTCTTCTTGACATAGAGCCTCAATTCATATTGGAGGCTGCAGTCCTTGACCCTCTGCATCAAGCACTTCAGGTCCTCCTCAGTTTCAGCAAGCAGGGTTGTGTCATCTGCATAACGCAGATTGTTGATAGATCTTCCACCAATCTTGATGCCGCATTTCTCCTCAGAGCGCCCAGCCTCCCAGATAATCTGTTTTGCATACAGGTTGAAAAGGTAAGGAGATAGGACACATCCCTAGTGTATGCCCTTCCCAATTGTGAACCATGCTGTGTTCCCTTGCTGTTAGGGACCTCTCCAAAGTATTGAAGAGCAATGGTGTCTCTCTGAAGACTAAGATGCATCTGATACAGGCCATGGTCTTTGCAATCACTTGTTATGCATCAGAGAGTTGGACAATGACCAAGGAGGATAGAAGGAGAATTGATGCCGTTGAGCTGTGGTGCTGGAGAAGAGTACTGAGAGTACCATGGACTGCTAGGAAACAAATAGATTCATCCTGGAAAGGGTTAAACTGGGTGGCTCCTTGGAGGCAAGGATTCTGAGGCTCCGTCTAACATACTTTGGACATGTTGTAAGGAGAGACCGGTCCTTGGAGAAGGACACCATGCTTGGGAGGGTGGAGGGACAGCGCAGGAGGGGAAGGCACTCTGTGAGGTGAACTGATTCAGTGACTGGGGTAATCGGGATGGGAGTGTCAGAGACAGTGTGATTGGCACAGGACAGAGCAGAGTTTAGGGCTGTTGTACATAGGGTCGCTATGAGTTGCAAGCGACTTGATGGCACATAACAACAACAACAACAACATATTCACCATGTTTTACCATCCTTACCTATTTCCAAAAATTTTTAATCATCCCATCCATAAGTCTATATATTCTTTCAGCAACCACTGAGTTCTGAAAATGTTTGCTTGATATGTTAAGGTCAAGTTATCAAGGACATACCTACACATTTAAAGTTGTTTACCATCTGTCTGTGAATTCAATGTTTCACCATTAAAGAGACATCCTTATTACAGTAATGCTTTTTTGCAAAATGTCTATCTTGGCTGTTTCCTTTGGATTATTTCCTTGGGTTGCATTGCATACCTCTCTTTTATAATTCAGGATCCCCTCCCCCCAAGGTCTGTTTTGGTTTATTTTTGTAGTTTAAAAATAGTCTGCTTATTTTATTTACCTTAGTCTTCATTTCATGATTTAAAGGTGTGCTGCTAGAACTATGGCAGTAACTTATTTTTTGAGAGAGTGTGAATGTGTGTGTGTGTGTGCGTAAAGTCTCTGGCATTAAGTAAGAGGTAGGAGCAGGACCTGCACATACCTCTGACTCTAAGTACTGAGCTCATTACTTCAGTTTTTAGCAGATACCATTAGCCTCCATTCCTCAGCACTAAGCATTTGGAAAAGTCAACTTTCTACTGGCACAAATGTAGCCTTCCCATGACTCTCTCTATCCATGTGTCAGGTGACTCTGTTATTTCTTCTCCACATTGGGCTAAGACTTGCTCTCTTAGTTATTTCTTCCTCACCATTATGTTTTGGGACTGCACTTTTCCACCATATGTCTCAACACCAAAAATTCTGCTGGCTTTCTATCTTTCAAGAAGTCCCCCAAGAGGCTGATCCACCTTACTTTTTTATGATAATCCACCTTACTTTATTATGATAATTCGTTGTTTCTTTCTGTTTTGTTTATTTGTTCAAAAAGTTAAGTTTATTCTTATGCACAGAAAAGTCAGTGTGTACATCAGGTCAGTTTGGTGGTGAGTTCTTTGGCTTTGGCCTTCTCTAGCTTGGTGAGGCAGGCCACAGACTTGGGCCCAAGATGTTGTCTCTCCAGTGGCAGTGGATCTCATCATATCTGTTGTCGTAATTGTTCTTGATGGCTTCCATCAGCTTCACCAGAGCAACTCTGCTTCCGGGTTCACCTGTGTGAGGCGGTGCAGATCTTCCAGTGGACGAGGCAGCCCAGCCTGGCCTTGCCCTTGATGATGCCCTAGGGAACATTCATCTTACAACACAAGGTTGGCAGGGGCCTGAAGACCACCAGCTCTGGGGACCATGTCGTGCATGATCACCACCAGTTGCACCTTCTTGTTCTCCACCAGGGTGGAGACAGCATTCACCCTGGAATGGAGGACAGGGGGTCTCTTTGGGGGCATCTCCTTTGCCAGTAGCCTTCTTCTCAGTCCGGGGCAACAGCCTCTGGTTCTTCTTCTGTTTTGTCTCCAGTCAGTACTTGTGGACCAGCTTCAGCAGCTGAGTAGCTGTCTGGTGGTCTAAAGTCTGGGTGAACTGGTTAATGGAGGGTGTCACCATGAGTGGCTTGTAGAGGACTGTCCTTTGCTGCTACAGTTTGATATAGCAGGGCCATCTGACAAAGGTTCCTTAGGGTTGGGTGTCCTGTCTGATGCCAAAGTTCTTGAGCCTTGAAAAGAGGACTCACCATCTTCTTGGCTTCCTGCTTCTTGACCATGGTGGGTACCTGTGCCACAATCTTCCCCTTGGCCTTCTTTTTCTGCATATTAGGCGGATGGATGACAGAGTGATAATTGGCTGTTTAATGTCTTAATGCTATATTTGTTTTCTCTCATTTCATAAGCATTGATGGAGAAAATGGTCCAGCAATGCCAACTTGATATTTATCCAACAACATTAATGTTTTGTTACCAAACATGCTTACCTGAAAACTTAGTAACAAATGACACTGCCCTGATTTTCATTATTTATAAAATATGCTCTGACATGTTAATATTTTTTAGCATTTGCTTTAAAACCCACCTTTAAGCTTTTCACATCCTCTTCTACTTTATCTTCCAATTGACTTAAGTAAAAAGATTTAAAAGTTTCTTCAATGGCTATATGGGGGAAAAAGTAGCACTGTGAATTTCTTTGGTATTTTCTAAAAGAAAATTTAAATATCAGTAAACCATTGCTAATGAATTTAACTAATCTAAGTAAAGCTCAAAAATAAAAACTTCCAATCTCTACATAGAGAGAGATCAGCTGGCCCAGTGGACAGAAAGCGATGCTACCAAGCGAAAGGTGGGTGACTTTTAATCCGCTGCCCTCGGGCCTGTCTTTCATTGTTCAGACATTCCTCTAGGTCATATAGCCCTGGTGTACAAGTTGCCGTACTGCGTTCACTTTTGGTTGCTGTGAGGCTGAACACCGTGACGCTGGTGTGTCAAATGCATTAATGATCGGCTACCCAATGCGGACAGAGAGTGGGGTGGAGCTCCCCGATTAAAACAAGCTTGTCAGGAGGAGTGGCATCCACTTCCATAATAGTTTGCCTCCAGAAACCCTATGAACCTGGAGAGAGGATGAAAGGCACCTAAACATCAAGGTCTCTCCTTCCTAGGGTCACTATGAGTCACCTGCGACTCGACGGCACTTAACAACAACAACAACAAGTAAAACTCAAAAATTAAAAATTCCAAACTCTACTGGAGTCCAAAAAGTCTAATAACTAGATAGAACATGGGATAGCCTATCAATTGCTCCTCTCAAATGCATGTAGTTCCTCTGACTGTGGCCCAAGGTCAACTCAGTCATTATTACCTGGTACAAGTTAATCTCTCAGTGTACAAGAATGAGTGATATCTGATTTATGATAGAATGGGTTACTAATAATAAGGACGCAGTGCAAAGGTTAGAGTTATTAGCATGAAAAGGAAAAAGCCACTTCTGCTTCCAATAATGGAGAAAAGACTGAAGTTCAAGAATTTCATTTTACATGGATCCACAATCAACACCCATGGCAGTAACAATCAAGAAATCAAAAGGTGCATTGCATTTGGAAAATCTGGTGTCAAAGACCTCTCCAAAGTGAAGAACAGCGCTGTCAGAGGCCTAATGAAGAGCTAGGAACTCCTACCCTCAACCAGAAGTAAAGTGTATGCCTCATCTCAAGTGTATAATAAGGAGTCAGGTAGGGATCCTTCAATCATATCACCACCTAACACTAAGAAAGAGGCAACCATCCTTTCCTGGAGCAAGGTCAGAAAAAGCTGCTAAGACAAAAGACTTAAATAAGACCCAGAGTCTCATAATAAGAAAATGCACAAGTTTCTATAGACAATTTTACATTATATCAAGAACCATAAAATATCAGACTAAATTAAAAAGACACAACTGATTGGTGCCAGGGATAAAGTGGCACAAGACAGACACGATAAAACATTTCAGTGAGCAATTGTGAACATATATGAAAAAGAGAAAAACTTCAGCAAAGTAGAAAATGTCAGCAAAAAAAGATAAGAAGGAAACACAATAGAAATTTTAGAACTGAAAGCTCTGATAATGAAACCAAAGGTTCCATTGTGAACCTTTTGTGTCTAGGTGTTATCAAGTTATAACTCACTGCTGACGCTCCAGCAGGTTTCCAAAGTCTGGAAATTGCCCAGGAGGAAACTGCCTATATTTCTCCCATGGAGCTGCTGATGGCTTCAAAATGCCAGAGAGGCATCATCTTTGGGTTAGCAGTCCAACTCCCTGTGACCTACGCCACCAGAGTTCCCCAAAGAAGTGACAAGTGTTTAGAAACAGCGAACTGACTGGTGAATACCAGGAACTGAAGAGGTGTTGTGGCAGAAGGTGGGTATAGTTATAAAGAGCAACATGAGGGAGCTCTGGAGTGATAGAATTCTTCTATATCTGATTGTGTCAATCTTGTGATATTGTATTCCAGTCTTACAAGATGTTATTCCTAGGGAGAAACTGGGTAAAGAGCACATAATAATATCGGTATTATTTCAAGGGAGCGCTGGGGGCTTAGAGGTAAAGACATGCACTACCAAGTCAAAAACATGCAGTTCTAACCCTCCAGATGCTCCAAAGTTAAAAACAAAACAAAACAATCTCTTCCAGTCTGATTAACTGCCTCTGAAAGCCTGCTGGAGTGTCAGCTATGGGTCAATTCCAATTAGATGGTACACCACCACCACAACAACATTATTGCTTACATTATTGCATGTGAATCTACAGTCTCAAAAGAAAAATTCCCATTAAAAATTGAAAACAGCTTTAGAAAAAGCAAAGAAACCCAGAGAAGATTAATTAATGCTGACTGACTGTATAAGAAAACATATAACTAAATGAAAGTACTTCTGGAATTCTTTTATGCTTTACTTCTGTCTTCTCAAATTTAAAAAAAAAATATTGAGCAAAGTGCCTTCATGTCTTTCTACTATTTCTTTTTCTCTTAGCTGATTTTCTTCTTTCTTCTGCACCTGCCTCATGTCCTTACATTATATCTGGGAATAGGAAAAAAATGCATGAATGTGGCAAACATTTGTATCCTTTTTTCTCTCTACTCCATCTAAATGAGTAAATGCATTTACAAAGATACCAGACATAGAAGAGGGCAGAAAAGAAGGCAAAAATCATGAGGGCTCCTCTAAGGAAAATGTCCATTCATTCAGCCATCATACTTTTGGGAGGGATGGCATCCTTTTATTGCACAAAATATTTGAAACCATGAGTAAAGTAAAACTGTTTTCTGAAGATCCAAATCAAGATGTTAAAACCTTCCTAGGAAAACCAGTGCCTAAGCAAATCATTCGTGACAGATGTTCTTACCAGGAAATGGTGGCCGGGCTTCTGGCTTGCTCTCCCAGCACTGCCGCATGAGGCTAATAATCTCCTTTGGGCAGTGCTCAATGATGTCGTTCACGTGTGGCCTGTTTCCATTTTTAATGCATGCTATCAATTGTTGCTCATTCATTGCATCTATAAGACAAAGACAGTTTAAGCTAGATTTTCAAATCCTGCTCCACTGTTGGTCAGGAAGGTAAAAGAACTTAAGATAATGTTGCCATATCATTTTTTAAGGACATAGTGAACTTGTGACAAGCCGCTCACATTAAATATTTTCATTTTTGCATATAAAAGAATTATGAACAAAGCTTCCTCCTGGTAGAATAAGTGGAAGGTATAGGTAAACACAATGGCATGTTCTAGATTTTAATACAAAGTCAAATACAGTTTAGCCCTTACCTTTAGGAGACTCACTTTAATGAGAGTGACTTAAAACATGAAGTGATAGGTGCTATGCCAGAAGTAAGTACAAAGGTTCTGACAGAACAATCAGAACTAAAAGGCTGTGCAATAAGTCTGTTCTATCCAGGCCAAGAATAAGAAAGAAGGACATTCTGGATAATTTTGTGCTAGGGGAGTAGGATATAAATGGATTGGGAGTTACAGGAACCACGATGTATCCTATAAATTAATTAATAAAGGAAGGAATGAGAAGGTAGAAAGGATGTAGGTAGAAAGAAAAGCAAAAGCCAGATCATAAAGCATCTTATATGCCATAATAAGAAACTGGAATGTTATCCTGAAGTCACTGGGAGTCTCTGGATGATTTTAAATAGGAAAGAAGGCTGGCTGTTCTCAGATGATCATGCACTACAGGGTAAGTGAGGTGGTGGACAAAGATAAAATAAGAAAACAAGGAGTCTGAAGCAGAAGAAAGGAGAATGAACTAAAAAGAAGCCAGTGAGAATAGGAAGAAGTGAGTGGATTTAAGACACACTATGATCATATATAGAGAATTCAGAGTTTTGATTTCTGATTGGATAGTGAATAAGAGGGACAAGCCAAAGTCTGAGATGTCCCTAAAGTTTTTGGAAGGGCAGCTAGGCAGACCTGGAAAGATAACATTTTTTGAGCATAAAAAGATAAGCATAGCTGAGTAGCAGAGAGGGTTACAGAGAGAATATTTAGGAGATGAATCATTGGGAAAGAATGCTGTTTTGAGGGTTTCCTGGGTACAAGTAACAGATCTCACTAATAGATAGCTGGATTTCCAGGCCAAGCTTACAGGTAAGACTTGAGAACCATCAGTAAAGGGATGATTATTAAACTCACACTCACTGTAAACTATAAACCGTAATAGGAGATTGCCCATCTTTCTTCCAAGGAGCCACTGGTGGATTTGAACCATCGGAGTGGTGGGGCCTTTGGGTTATCAGTGCATTTTACTACAGACTATGCCATGAGAGCTCCTTCATTGAACCACGGGAGTTGATAAAACATACCAGGGGAAAAATGTGTGGGAAAATGTTCATTAGTTTAAGCACTTAGAAAATTAAAGAATGATTATTTAGCTATCTGTTTTGTATGAACATTCATTTTTTACATTCATTCATTTTTAAAGTTCTAATACCAACCAAAGTTCTGATTGTAAGTTTGAGGGAAAAATTATTAAATGAAGGAGTACGTGGATGAAGCATAATGTTTATACTTCATAACACAGAGGAATAAGTTCTCATAAGCAGAAATTTGCAAACTTTCCTGTTCAGGAGGGAATCCTGAAATTTTACTGCACCTTCTCAGGTTAGATGTACTGTCAAGGCTACTACTGGTGCTGGGACTCTCGATTCCTAAAGTGGTATACTCAAACAGTCAAAAAAATATACCGTACATTGAGCTCGTTCCAGGCAGCATTTATGTTAGTGCTGGGGAAAAGCAGTCAGAAAGTCCCAGCCCTCATGGAGCTTGTAGTATAGAGAGCAATACAGACATTACATGATGAACAAGGGACTCCAACTCTTCACTGACTTTATGAAAAGCCATTCTTTCACATAGCCATCTTGATTAATACCCAAATCCCAGATCTCTACAAATATCTTACTTTCATATGGCTCCTTATGAGCAAAAATTGCCCAGAGTACGATGGCAAAGCTGTAAACATCTGACTTCTCCGTGGGCTTTGCATTGATATCATCCAGATGCTCAGGGGCCATGTAGCAGAGAGTACCAGCGTTTCTCCTGGAGATAAAAGTCTGTTTCCTCTGCTCATTGTGTTCTTCTTTAGTCAGCTTACTCCACGTCTTAAAAGTAGCAACCCCAAGATCAGCTATCTGCAAAAGAGATCAAACTGATGGGATTGTTTTGGGAAGGCTACACTTAATCAGATCTGGCTTTAAATCTGGAGGCTTATTAAACCATGTGAGATACAGTGAATTTTCCCAGAAATAGTTTCACTGGACAGATTTTAAATAGCTACTTCTGTTTTAAACGCTGCATAATTACCAATTAAAGGCTCATAGAAACATGCTTTCTAAGGATCTAGAAAAGTTCTCCCTCCCTGAGAGATAGCCAAGTAAAATTAATTATCTTAATTCTCAGGCAATAAGAGTAGGGCACTTTCCAAGTCAAGGGAGGAGAAAAGTAGAAAACAATTCTGGCATAACAATAAAATAGATTTATTATTCTGCCTATTATTCAACTATTGTTAAGCAAAAATAGTAAGTATTTTCTCCTCAGCACACCTTCTACTTGTGTAGCAGATGGGTACTGCATCTTCTGTTTTCCTAAATGATGTCCACAGGCCCATGGATTCGAGTGTTCAAGGATTCCAAAGATACACTGAGGCTAAGGAGTCTGATGCTACTCTTTTGACAGATAGAACAAACCTATGAGAAGACAAGGTAAAGCAGAGGAGGAAGAGAGCATACAACAAAGAAACAGTAAGGCCATCCATAAAACACAGAAGTAGTAGGTGGAAATGACAGGATAACACAGTTTAAAAAGTGACAGTGCCACTTTTGTCTCTGGGGAACTAAGCAAGCATTTAAAGATGAACTTTGATACATGATTATCTAAAATCTACAATAGGTTACTCAATTGAAATCTGAATTCAATTGAATGTTTTTAGTGTAAAGAAAAAAATTTTCCTTTGCAGATAAAAGGATAAAAATCCCTCTGAGACCAATACAAAGAGATGCAGAAACTTCGGGCAGAGGACATGTGTGCAGACAGCTCCTGAGTTCTTCTGGAACGCTGCTCCCCCTTTCAGATTCTTGAGCACCCAATCCCTGCAGTGAAAAATCAATAGTATATGACACTCTCCCTCATTATATCTTACCTTTGAGTGAACAATACTCTTTCCTTGTTCTCTTTACTCTAATAGAAAGTTGAATTTCAAAAGGAAATGGATAAAATAACAACCAAAAACTCCACCAAACAAAGCAAAAAGCACTATAAAAGTACACAAACAAAAAAAATAAATGCAAATTCCAAAACTGACAGGTTTTTTTTTTTGCCAAATGGCCAACTCAATACTTGTCTGACCCATGGGCCATTTTCAAAGACTAAGGATTCTCCTGCACACATCCTCATGCTACTCCTCACATTTCATTTATACACATTTCCTGAAGAAAATTATGAGTTAACTCTTGAATGTTTCTGTCTCAAAGTCTACAACAAAGGCAAAAAAAAAAAATCTAAGAAATTTTCAACTTCATTTCTCCCCCAAAAGATAAAAGAAGTATGTTCTTATAGTTATTTCCCAGATCCAAAAAGTCTGTATCTTTCTTTTCTAACCTTGGGCAAGCCTTTGGCCTTACCACCACTACAATCAGCAGGAAATGGAACTGGGGCTTTCTTTACAACAGATATGCTTTGGGCATGTTGTCAGGACGAATCAGGACCTGGATAAAGAGGTAATGCTTAGCAAAGTGGAGAAGATGATAGAGAAGAAGAGTCTTAATGAGATGGATTGATACAATGACTAAAACAATGGACTTAAGCATAGGAAATACTGTGAGGATTGAGTAAGATTGCAGTGTTCCCTGTTACACATGGGGTGGGTTGCTATAAGTCAGAGTCTAATCAAGATTACCTAATAACTAACAACAACAAAGGGTTTCCTTTATCATCTATCTACAAAATGGACTGAAGTGGCAGAAGCTGTAGACTGTAGCTTACCTTAATATGAAAGTAATTATCAACGAGGATATTTTCAGGCTTCAAGTCCTTATGTATTATACCTTCTCTGTGTAGGTAGCACATTCCTTCAATGGTCTCCAAAATAATCCTCCCTTTGACTGAAAGGGGGATGCTTATCTAAAACAAGTGACAGTAACTTTATGAAATGGAAAGTCGTCAAGCAACCTAAAACAACTGTTTCATTTAAGAGTAATGGGGGCTGAAACTGAGGCTGTATTTGTCAGATACCCTTCTACCATTCTTTATAGCACTGCAATCAGTGTAAACCAAGATCCCTCTTTCCCTTCTCCCATTTTTAATTGAGATTTTAAAGAAAGTTTATAAAGAACTTGGATTTCCATTCATTCATTGTTGCACATTTTCCTCTCTGCCTCCCCTCTCTCCAAGATCTCTTTTCTCTTTGGAAAAAATGTTCTTTCATTGTTATACAGTGCCCCTCTCTCCAAATCACTTCACTATGCAACTCTTACTCTGGACTCTAGTCATACTAATAATGCCTAATCATAAATTCCTTTTGCACACAACTTTAAAAAATGTAATCACATCACTGATCTCTGCATTTGGAAACTGCTGAAATGATGGGGTTTTTTTCCCCCCTTTGCATATATTTTTACCAGGGGGGACCTATGTTGAAGATAATTTATTATCTACTTTGTCATTTAATGAAACAACATATGAGCAAGTGATGGTAATGAAGGAAGAAGTTCAAGCTGCTTTGAAGAAAATAGCAAAAAATAAGGCCCCAGGAATAGATGGTATACCAATTGACATATTTCAGCTCACAGATGCTGCCCTGGATGTGTTAACCAAGTTGTGCCAAGAAATCTGGAGAACAACCACTTGGCCAACTGACTAGAAGAGATCTATATTTCTTCCCATTCCAAAGAAAGGTGACCCAACAGAGTGTGGAAACTGTAGAACAGTATCGTTGATTTCACATGCAAGCAATATTCTGCTAAAGATTACCCAAAAATGACTCGAACAACACATCAGCAGAGAACTGCCAGAAGTCCAGGCTGGGCTTAGAAGGGGTCGTGGTACTAGGGATATTGTAGATGATGTTAGATGGATCTTAGCTGAAAGCAGGAAATACCAGAAGAATGTCTATCTGTGTTTCATTGATTATGCAAAGGCATTTGACTGCATGGATCATAAACTGTGGCTGACTCTGAGAAGAATGGGAATCCCAGAACACTTGATCATGCTAATGTGAAACTTATACTTGAACCAAGAAGCAGTCATCAAAACAGAGTGAGGAAACACTGTATGGTTCAAAATTGGGAAGGGTGTACGCCAGGGATGTGTCCTGTCTCCATACCTTTTCAACCTGTATGCAGAACAGATCATCCGGGAGGCTGGGCTCTATGAGGAGAAATGTGGCATCAGGATTGGTGGAAGATCCATAAACAATCTGCTTTATGCAGATGATACAATCCTGCTTGCTGAAACTGAGGAGGACCTGAAGTGCTTGCTGCTGAGGGTCAGGGACCGCAGCCTTCAATATGAACTGAGGCTCAATGTCAAGAAGACAAAGATTCTCACCACTGGACCAATTAGCAGCATAAAGAGATTGAGACTGTTCACAACTTTAGTCTGCTTGGCTCCATAATCAACACTCTTGGCATCAGCAGCCAGGAAATTAAAAGATTTATTGTGATGGGAAAGTCTGTTGTTAGGGACCTCTCTAAAGTACTGAAGAGCAATGGTGTGTCTCTGGAGACTAAGGTGCATCTGGGACAGGCCATGGTCTTTGCAATCACTTGTTAGGCATCAGAGAGCTGGACAATGACCAGGGAGGATAGAAGGAGAATTGATGCCTTTGAGCTCTGATGTTGGAGAAGAGTATTGAGAGTTCCATGGACTGCCAAGAAAACAGATTTATCCTGGACAGTGTTTAACTGGGCTGCTCCTTGGAGGCAAGGATTTTGAGACTTCGTCTGACATACTTTGGTCATGTTGTAAGGAGGGACCAGTCCTTGGAGAAGGACATTATGCTTGGGAGGGTGGAGGGCAGGCACAGGAGGGGAATGCATGCCCTCTGGGAGGTAGATTGATTCAGTGACTGGGGCAACTGGGATGAGTGCGTAGGAGACAATGAGATTGGCACAGGACAGAGCAGAGTTTAGAGCTGTTGTACATAGGGTTGCTATGAGTCGCAAGCAACTCGACAGCACATAACAACAACAACTTTGTCATTTGGTATTAGATAGTTCAGGTCATTGTATAGTCTCATGTCATCTTTTCTTTCTACTGTAGTTATACGAACATTAATGTTAGGAGATGATTTAGATGTCTATTATAGTGGCTGCTTGGGTGTGTGGTATATAGGGATTTGTGTTACTACCCAAAAGGTGGCACCTTCCTGGCAGCTCCAACCCACAAGTGGCTGCATGGGAGAAAGATGAGCAATTTCCTGCTGTGCCATTTATAGCCTCTAGAAAATACACTGGAGGGTTAGCTGGGGGTCAGTTCTGAAGTGAATTGAGAATTCTAGTGATTAAAATTTTATACATAAATGTGTATTTTACACATAAGATACATATTTATATATAAAATACATGGTTTATATATGTGTGTGTATTTATTTATTTATAAGGGAGCTCTGGTGACTTAGTGGTAAGGAATTGTGCTGTCAATGCAAAGGTATATGGTTCAAATCCCTCAGTTGTTACATGGGAGAAAGACAGGGAATCTCCTCTCACAAAATTTACAGCCTCTGAAAACCTGTCAGAGGGGTCAACTATAGATCCGTTCCAATTTGATGGTACACAACAACAATAGTATGTGTCGTTACATGTTGTCAACTATGACTCATAGTGACCCTCTGAACAATGAATCTGCACCTTACCATACCCTATTCCATCCTCGTCATCTCTTATACATTTGAGTCCATTGTCACAGTCACGGTGTAAATATATCTTGAGTGTCATAGATATATAAAATGTGTGTATACATGCAGTATCTTTTATATACACACACATATAGAGTTGCAAACATATAACTTTCATAAACTTTGTAGTTACAAACATCCCAGGAAGCATATTACACTAAAAATCTGACGTATAAATCTAGGGTTGACCCTTGAACAATGCAGGAGTGGGGAGCAGAACTATCTCACAGTCGAAAATCAGCATATAACTTACAATTCACCTACAAAAAACATGAGCTTAAAATATCTAGGCTCAATGTTTTTAAGCGCCTGCTTAAAAGTCCATGTGACACTAATCATTGCTACAGAAGTTCATCTCTGTTGGAAACTCCTAACCCTATCCCTCCTGTTCAGGGAGATATTAGCCATACTGCCCAACGGGGGAGGGGGGAATCTGCATATATGAGGGTAGTTCAAATTCAAGTTGTTCAAGGGTTAGTTGTAAGTGTATCTCAGTTTACAAAAACAATGCTCCCTAAAAATGTATGTACATATTCATTATAGACAGGAAAACATAAATAATGGAAGTTCTCAAGTCAACACCAAACCATGTTTAACTCCCAATGCAGCTGAACTCTTGCATTAAAAGCCTGGCCACCGTACACAAAACAGCAAAAGAGAATCTCTCCACTTTTCTTTTGGATATGGTTGGACTCAGAAATAGAGTTGACCACCTCTGGACCCTCTTTTTGCTTCTCTGTTTTGTCCTTCTGACTTTCTTCCTAAACCCCAACTAGTGTTGTTTAGGTTGTCCCAAGACACCTCACTCCTAATCATAAAGGCTACATACCCCACACAACTGACTATCTACTTCTGAGGAGGAGAACGATCTAAAGAAATTACAGTGTCATGTATATAATCTTCTTCCCAAAAGCATTCTCCATTTTTGAGAGATGTCTGTTGACATGAAAGAATTGACAAAGTCTAGCTGTAAGAACCCAGGAAGTCTGAAACCCCTTAGCCTGTCCAGGAAGAAAGATGTGGCAATCTGCTTCCATAAAAATTTACAGTCTTGAAAACCCTTCAGATAATTCTATTCTTTGTAAAGCCACTATAAGCAAAGAGACTTGACGGCAATGGGTTTAGTATTTTGGTTTCCAGGGAGGAGACAGGTACACTCTGGACAAAGCTAGTTTATTTGCAGTTCACACACACTGGCAACTTTCCATTCCTTTGCATATGCCATTCTTTCTGTCTGGAATACTTATCCCTCAGTTCTGCCCTTTCAATGTTCTTGTCTTTCAAATCATGGCTCATACCTTCTCCTGCTAGAAGCCTTTCAGGCAACCGTCCTAGCACAGCTCCCATTTACCTCTCTGCCTCCTATTACTTGTCTGTGTCATACTGGGCACAAAAACCTGAGCAACTAGCACAAGACCTTGTTCTTAATGGGTTGATAAACAAAGTTTTAATAATATTTGGTTTTTGCAAACAGCTTTTATTTTCCTGTGTTAAATCATATCCAGTGCTGTTGCCTATAATTTTCAATATTTAATCTAAAATAAATGTGCCTTTAACAGTATCAGCATGCAATCACAAATATTCTTTCTGCTTTAATGGCCATATACTCTGCAAGCTTTAACCAATCAACACACTACTGTTACCCGTTGTGTATCTACCCCACATCAGAGCACAGACTTTATGAAGACAAGATTCAACTCTGAACTGTGGACCTTAGAGTGGGTGAAAAGACTCTCAAAAGCCAACTCCAATACTGAGATGTAGAAGTGATGGTTCAGGTGAGCAATACAGAAAGTGACCTGCAGAAATTACCTGAGGGAAGAGACCACCCTTTGGGCCAATCTAAAAACAAATCTAGCAATTGATTTGTGTAGTGTTTCACTCCAACAAGCTACAGAAGATTAGACATGATGAGGATGTGCAGGGGGACGGAGGATTTAATCACGGGGTTGTACAATTTGATGGGGGGGTGGTGAGGGGAAATTGAAAGAATCTGTTCCTGAAAACAATGTATTCAAATTTTGTAAATAAACTAGTATAAATTTTTTTTTAAAAAACTAGAGAGGATAATAAACAGTCAGCAGCCACACTTGTGTCTTTGAAGTGTGCATCTGCGCTCTCTACCTCTGCCTTCAGCACTCGCATCAGGTTTCCCTTCTCCATGTACTCCATCACAAGAGAGTAGTTGCCGTCCTCAATAATGACTCCCAGGAGCTTCACCACTCGGTTGTGGTTCAGTCTGTGCATCATCTTGCCCTCCTCCAGTAGGGACTCATTGTACCTGTGGGAAAACCAGGTGCTGTGTGAGTATGAACAGAGGCAGTACCTTCGCCCTCAGGTCTACACCCCAAAACTCTATACACCTCCAACATCTCACATATTTTGTAATTCATTGTATATGCACCGATCTTTTCCAGTGACAGCCTACACGACTTAGAAGGCAGCAGAGGTGCTCATTCATCTTCATACAAAGATGAATACAACTGCTTCCTCCCAGGCATTCAATCCATGTTCAATTAATGAAGGAACAAATGTAAAGTGAAAAGCAGCAATGGAACATGGATAAAAGACTGTTTTGGATAAAGGAGTCAAACTCACTGCCACCAAGCTTATTCTAATTCATAGGAAGCTTAAACAACAGCGGAGAATTGCCCCATCAAGCTTCCAGGCTACAAATCTTCATTTTCTTCTGCAAAGCAGCTGGTGGGTTTAGACCACTAATCTCTTGGTTAACAGCCCAACTCTTAACCCATTATACCACTACAGCATTGGGCAGTATAGTTAAAAATCCCCCAAATTCAGCCAAAACCACCTTGACAAGAAGAGGGAGAACCAAAACTATGTCTTTAAATTTTATTTTCATTGCCTCCATCATCGTCTTTTCTCTATTTTCTTTATTGTTTTTCCTTTTCTTTTTCTTTTTTTATTTACTGGCTGTGAGCTTTAACTAGCCACCTACCTAAGAATCCTCTTGCATGATAATAAAGTTAATAACAATAAGCACCTTGTAGAAGTCTGGTGTTCTACTTGACATAAAGGTCATGTACTGAAATAGAAATCATATCTATCAACTCTCAAATCCAACCTGCCCTTACCCATTACATTATCCTTCATTTCTACCAGGATTCACTCTAAGACAAATCCTTTATTTGTCCCACCTCCTCTTTGTTACCCACTCACTCAGTGCACTTGGGCCCTGTGTACACTTTCTTCAGTATCACCAATCCACAGGTTCTGTGTAAACACAGCGACACCTCTCCAAAGCTCCCATTGTCTATTTCCTTTTTGACCAGTAAGTCAGTAGATTTCATCTCAATATCATCCAGGGACATTATTGGTTCCTTCAAAAGGCTAACAATGTCCAAAACTATAGTGCTTTTTCCTGAGCGCAGTATCCTATAAAGAAAATAAAGAAAACATTTCAGCACAAAATATCATTATACAAAAAAACTCTTGAAAAGTTTCACACTAAGAGTGGTATGTGTCTTTGTTGTCAGAAAGCAGACTTATAATCTCCAAGATGAGATCTTTTTTATATTCACAAGAATAAGAAAAGAATATAATTTCTGTGGAATGCTCAGGGCTCTTATGGCTTTCTTTTCATCCCAAGTGGGTGTCAGCGGATGGGCCCTGCCAGATAAATTGATAGCTATATGGAATACTACCAATCTCCCCATAACATGGGGACAAAACCTGACATTCAGAGCATGCAAGAAAGGAAGGTTGGAATTAACCACTCAATGCCTTTGAGTTGTGGTATTGGAGAAGAGTGCTGACTGCCCCATGGACTGCCAAAAGGGCAAATAGGTCTTGGAAAAGGAGCAGCCATGATGCTACTTGGAAGCAAGAATAGTGAAACTTGTTCTCACATACTTTGTGTATGTTATTAGGAGGGCCCAGTCCTTAGAAAAGGACATCTTGCTTGGAAAGGTAAATTGTCAATGAAGGAAAAGACCATCAACGAAACAGATGAACAAAATGACTGTAATGTTGGCCTTGAGTATTATCACAGATGATGACAACGACACAGGATAGGGTAGGGTTCAGATCTATTGTTCATAAGGTCTCTATGAGTCATAGTTGACTCAGTGGTACTTAATAACACAACAAACCTTGTAACATAATCCTATCCACTAAATTATTGTTGTGTGTTGTTGTTATGTGCCATCCAGTCGACTCATAGCGACCCTATGTACAACAGCCCTAAACCCTACTCTATCCTGTGCCAATCGCACTGCCTCAGACACACCCATCCCGATTACCCCAGTCACTGAATCAATCCACCTCATAGAGGGTCTTCCACTCCTGCGCTGTCCCTCCACCCTCCCAAGCATGATGTCCCTCTCCAAGGACCTGTCTCTCCTTACAACATGTCCAAAGTATGTCAGATGAAGCCCCAGAATCCTTGCCTCCAAGGAGTAGCCTGGTTTAACCCTCTCTACAATGAATCTGTTTGTTTTCTTGGCAGTCCACGGTACTCTCAATACTCTTCTCCAGCACCACAGCTCAAAGGCATCAATTCTCCTTCTATCCTCCCTAGTCACTGTCCAACTCTCTGATGCATAGCAAGTGATTGCAAAGACCATGGCCTGTATCAGGCGGACCTTAGTCTCCAGAGAGACACCTTTGCTCTTGAGTACTTTAGAGAGGTCCCTAACAGCAGACTTTCCCATCACAACACGTTTTTTTATTTCCTGGCTACTGGTACACCAAGAGTGTTGACCGTGGAGCCGAGCAAAATGAAGCTGTGAACAATCTCAATTATTACCTTATTCAAAATTTCCCATACCAACTCATTTCATTTCACCAATGCCTGTGCCAATATTTAAGCATTCCATTTCTTCCTTAACAGTCCACAACTTTCCTATATTCATACTTCTCACATCCCATGTTCCAATCAGGAGTGTCTGTTTACAACTGTTCCTCTCTTTTGTGATTCCCAGTTGGAAGGTTCTGACTCTGGTACAATATCTGCAAGTCTAATCTAAATGTGCTCTATTGTACATAGGGTTTTCAGTTGCCTGTTATTTTACTGGAGGTTAAAAGTGAGAAAAAATGGAGTCACTTTCATTGTTAAAAAGACCATTTCTAAATCTATCTTGAAATACAATGTCATGAGTGACAGGACAGTATCTACATACAGGCAAGGAAGACCTCTTAATACCACTATCATTCAAATATATGCACCAAATACCAGGGTCAAAGAGGAGGCAATAATTATTTTATCAACATTTGCAATAGGAAACTGATCAAACATGCAACTAAGATTCTTTGATAATAACAGGTGATTGAGATGCAAAAGTTGGGAAGAAGGAAAAAATTGAGTTGGTGACAGAAATAAGGCTGGAGACAGAATGAGAGACTTCTGTACAATCAGTGACCTATTCATTGTAAATAGCTTTTATAAAAAAACATAAATTGTAACTATACACATGGACTTCACATGATGGTCTACACAAGAATCAGACTGACTACATCTGTGGGAAAAAAATAATTGGAGAATCTCATTATCAGCTGTTAAAAGTAGGCCAGGTGCTGAGTGTGGAAAAGACCATCAAATACTCATATGCAAGTTCAAACTGAAGCTAAAGAATACAAAATCAAATCCACAAGACAGAAAGTTTGACCTCGAGTCTATCCCACCAGAATTTAAAGACCACCTCATGAAGAAGTTTGAAGCCTTAAGCACTAATGAGCAAATACCAAATGAGCTGTGGGAGGATATCCAGAATATCACTCATGAAGAATGCAAAAAGTCACTGCCAAGACAGAGGAGAAAGAAGAGACCAAGACGGATGTCAGAAGACAAGAAGTGCTTTACCAAGGCATTATCGGAAATGAGACACGTGTGGCGGAAAGTGCATACTGTCTGGGTGAACATAGGGGGCCTGCATGCTGCAGTTTATCTTCTGAATCGTACCCCTCAGGCTTTTGTTCATTCTTCAGAACAGGATGAGGACAAAGGAAACCCTTGGTGATAACAAACAATGAAGATGGCTAAATAGCAGTACCTTTCTCAACACTGGAAATATCAGCACAAAGAACTTTATAAGGAAATAATAGTATTAACAGGAGTGCAGTTTGCATTGAACTTAATCTGGTCTACAGCTTTTCACCTAGCTTATCCTCTGCCTTTTAAAAATTAAAATATACATCGCTACTCAGATTAATATAGAACTAAAAATACATGTGAAGATTCACCAAGGAAATTGCAGATACTGGGCTCTAAATAGTTCTTTTTTTAAAAAATATTACAGCAGATAGATTGATAAGGTATGGGTCCAACACCCGATTAAAAGACATTTTCTTTTACTTTCAAAAAAAAAAGACTCTCTGAATATTGCACTACAATGCCAAGAAGCAAAAGCAAAGGTAAGAAATCAAGAAGTTGAAGAGCTGAACAGATGATTTCAAAAGGCAGTTTGGGAAGACAAAACAAAGTATTATAATGTGCAAGGAGCTGGAGTCAGAAAATCAAAAGGGACAAACATGCTCAGCATTTTTTAAACTGAAGAAACGAAAGAACAAATTCAAGCCATGAGTTGTAATACTTAAGGATGATGAGGAAGAAAGTTGAATGACCTAGGAAGCATCAAAAGAAGATGGAAGGAGAACAGAGACACCAAACCAAAAAGAATTGGCTGACACAGAAGAATTTCATTAAACAACATATGATTAAGAGCCTATGATAATGAAGGAGGAAGTTCAAGCTGCTCTGAAGAAATTGGCAAAAAACAAGCCTCCAGGAATTGATGGAATAATAATTGGCATATTACAACAAACAGATGCTGCCCTGGATGCACTCAGCAGGTTATGCCAAGAAATTTGGAGGACAACTACCTGACCAATTGACTGGAAGAGATCTGTATATATTACCATTACCCCCACAAAAAAAAAGATGACCCAATAGTGTGTGGAAATTATAAAAAAATATCACTACTATCACAAACAAGCACAATCCTGCTGAAGATTATCCCAATACGACTGGATTGACAGAGAACTGCCAAAAATACAAGCTGGGTTTAGAAGAGGCTGTGGCACCAGAGACATTATTGGCAATGTCAGATGGATTTTTGTCTGAAAGCAAAAAGTTCCAGAGGAATGACTATCTGTGTTTCATTGACTATGCAAAGGCATTTGACTGAGTGGATCACAACAAATTGTGACTAACTTTGAAAAGAATGGGAATCCCAGAACACTTAATTGTGCTCATACGAAACCTATACTTGGACCAAGAAGCAGTAGTCAGAACAGAGCAGAGAAATATGGCATGGTTTAGAATTAGGAAAGGTGTGCTTCAGGGAATGCATTGTATCTCCATACCTTTTCAATCTATATGTAGAACAGATCATTCAAGAGGCTGGATTTTATGAGGAGGAATGTGGCATCAGGATTGGAGGGTGATTCATTAACAACTGTATTATGGAGAAGACACAACCTTGCTTGCTAAAAATGAAGAGGACTTGAGGTGTCTCCTGCATAGAGTCAAGAATTAGCGTTTGCGTTTCAACAAGGATTGAAGCTCAACATCAAGCAAACAAAGATTCTCACCATTGGGCCAATTGGCAGCTTCATAACAGACAAAGGAGAGATTGAGATTGTTGATAAATTCAGCTTGTATGGTTCCACAATCAACACTCTTGGTGCTAACAAGATAAGTCAGGAAATCAAAAGATAAACTGCACTGGAAAAATCTGCTGTCAGGGACTTCTCTAGAGTACTAAAGAGCAATGATGTTAGTCAGTCTGGAGACGAAGGTGTGCCTGACTAGGCTATGATCTTCTCAATTACTTGCTATTCATCCAAGAGTTGTATAATAATTAAGGTTGATAGTATAAGGATCTTGAATACATACGGGAAAAGAATATTGCCCTAACCCACGCCTTTCTTGATTTAAAACCATGTAGTCCTTCCTTACTCTGTTTGGACAATAGCCTCTTGGTCTAGGTATAGAGTTCATAAGAGCACAATTAAGTGTTCTTGGATCCCCATTCTTCTCAATATTAGCCATAATTTGTTGTGATCAAATGCCTTTGCAAAGTCAGTGAAACACAGATCGACATCCTACTGTATTTTCTGCTTTCAGCCAGGATCCATCTGATATAAGCATTGAGATCCCTGCTGCCACAACCTCTTCTAAATCACCTTGAATTAATGACGATCATGTGTCAATGTACTCTTCTAGCTGTTTTTTAATAAACTTCAGCAAAATTATGCTTGCATGGGATATTAATAATTGTTGCTGTTATTAGGTGCCATTGAATCAAGTACAACTCATAGTGACCTTATGGACAAAAGATCTGAACCCTGTGCTATCCTCACACAACCTGATACA